ATAGAATTTACATACCTTTTCCAGCTTCCACAGCTCAAATTTGAATCAAGGCAGTTTGATGCAAGAGCCTCTTAGTCATCTTGCTATATTGCCTCTCTGTTTTCAAGGATGATACACTGTCACTATGTCTGTGTAAGTTAAGAAAGTTCATATTTTGCTTTAATTTACTCTTCCCTCGCATATCACTTTCTTAAAAAGATTTATTTGAGAGAGAGAGAGAGAGAGCAAGTGAGCGCACAGTGGGGAAGGGTGGAGGGAAAAGGAGAGAGAAACTTAAGAAGACTCTGTACTGACCATGGAGTCCAATACAAACATAACTGAGCCCATGATGGTGATATCCCAGTCAGAGCAGAAACCAAGAGTTGGGTGCTTAACAGACTGTACCCAGGTGCCCCTCCACGTCGCTTTTAAATTTTTTTAAATTTAAATTCAAGTTAGTTAACATACAGTGTATTATTAGTTTCAGTGATTCATCAGTTGGATGTAACACCCTGGGCTCATTATGTCAAGTGCTCTCTTGTTTAATGCCCATCACGCAGTTACCCCATCTCCCCACCCACTTCCCCTCCAGCAACATTTAGTTTGTTTCCTAGAGTTAAGAGTTTGTTATGGGGCATCTGGGTGGCTCAGTGGGTTAAAGCCTCTGCCTTCAGCTTGGGTTGTGATCCCGGGATCCTGGGATGGAGCCCCACATCAGGCTCTCTGTTCGGCAGGGAGCCTGCTTCCCTTCCTCTCTCTCTCTGCCTGCCTCCTCTCTGCCTACTGTGATCTCTGTCTGTCAAATAAATAAAATCTTTAAAAAAAAAAGAGTTTGCTATAGTTTGCCTCCCTCTCTGTTTTTGTCTTATTTTATTTTTCCTTCCCTTCCTCTGCGTTCATCTGTTTTATTTCTTAAATGCCACATATGAGTGAAATCATATGGTATTTGTCTTTCTCTGACTGACTGACTTTGTTTAGCGTAAAACCCTCTCGTTCCATCCACGTCATTGCAAATGGCAAGATTTCATTCTTTTTGATGGCTGAGTAACACACCACGTTTTCTTTATCCATTCATCTATCGATGGACATTTGGGCTCTGTTCCTATTTTGGCTATGGTAGATGTTGCTGCTATAAACATTAGGGAGCAGGTGCCCTTTCAAATGACTACGTTTGTATCCTTTGGATATATACCTAGTAGTGTAATTGCTGCGTTATAGTGTAGCTGTTTTTACCTTTTTGAAGGACCTCCATACTGTTTTCCACAGTGGCTATACCAATTTGCATTCCCACCGAGGGTGTAAGAAAGTTCCCCTTTCTCCGCATTCTCACCAACATCTTTTTTTTCCTTAGTTGTTAATTTTAACCGTTCTGACAGGTGACTGCACGTCTCTTTTTAATTTCATTTTAAAACTGGATGATGATACTAAGATTTGATAATCTTTATTTTCTCCCTACCTAATTATTTTTTATAGTGGCATTATTATATTTCGATATATTTACATTTGTACTATATTTGCATTGTGTACTTGTATTATTAGATTATATTTTGTGTATTTAGTTTTATGTTTGTATTATGTAGTGACCCTGCCTTCAGTAGTCATGTAAACTCATACCTTGTTTAACCGGACTGTCCTATTATATTGTATTTTAGCTTGATTTGGGGGCAGACGAAGTATGTCTTCAAGTTACTATTTTCAGTAAAGATAAGGTGATATGTTTTCTGAGCTCTTGCCCATTTGAGCATATACGCCACATGTGGTCATGCACGAACACTTGGCTGGTTATAGGTTTACCAGATAACAGTCCTTTCTCCTTTCAAACACAACGTAAAACTCTTTTTCCTTTGGTATCTGGTGTTGCAGAAGGAAGTATAACCCAAGTATGATTTTTTTGTGTGTACACATATGTACCTGTGTAGGTTTACCTACACACGAAACACACATACCTACTTTTTTAAAAATAATCTTAATTGTAGGGTGCATCCTCCCGTTCTGCCCGATAAGGAGTAGGGGTGTTGATTTTAGGTAGATCGGCAAATACACAAGACGAGGCTCTAGAAGTGTGTGGTCATGAGAGATGAAGCTGACCCTTGGCCGCAGGGTTTCTGCAACTTTCACGCCTAGTTGGCTTCCTAGGCCTTTTGGTTATGTGTGTTTGTGTACACGTACTTAGTCACCTTGTCTTCTCAGGGGTGTGAGACTACCTCCCAGTCTCCAGCCAGGGCATCTCAGCAATATCTGGTGCTTACTACTCAATGAACAATCCCAAGAATGGAATGCAGAGGCTTGGCTGGATACATGGGCCTCAGCTGAATTCTCCTCTTGAATCTGGGATAGATTGGCTCCTTCCAGTTCCATTACTTAGTATTGTGTCAAATGCTCATCCCAGAAATATCACCAGAGCAACCTGTTTCTAAGACAGACGTGAGTTTATCGTTTACCATGGTGTGTTGGGCTGAATAACGCCCCTCCCCCCAAAAGACGTTCACATCTTCATTTCTGGAACTTGTGAAGATGTTACTTTCTCTGGTACAAGAGATTTTGCAGATGTGATCGAGATGGGGAGATTGTCTTTGAATTATCAGGTTGGGTCCAGTGTCATCACAAGGGTCCTTAGACACGAAAGAATGAGGCAGAAGAGTCAGGGTCAGAGGAGGAGATGTGAGCGTGGAAGCAGAGGTGGGAACGATGGGATTGCTGGGGTTGGAGATGGAAGAAGGCACCATGAGGTAAGGCACCTATGTGACCTCTAGACGCTGGTAAAGGCAAGGGAATGAATTACCCTCTAGAGCCTCCAGAGAGAGTGTAGTTCTCCCAACACCTTGACTTTTGCCAAGTAAGGCCCATTTTGGACTTTGGACCTCCAGGACCATAAGATAATTAATTTGTGTTACCTCTGCTCACTAAATTTATGGTAATTTGTTATAGTAGCAAGAGGAAACCAATATACTTGCAAGGAAGAATGTAACAGAGTCTTGGCAACGCCTCAAAAGGGGAAGGAAGAAGGGGGGCTGTTTATTATGTCTTTAAAGTCTTGTTTAAGAGAAGGTTTTTTTTTAATATGGGGGCTTGATTAGCATTGGGTAAAGATCATAATGCAGTGGTTTAAGATTGGGGGACATAGTAAGGCAAGAATCTTGAGGAGAGGGGCTGTAAGGGTCTTGGATCAATGAGTCAGTTGTTGCTTTCTGATGAGATGTTCATGGAATGAACAATAAATTTATCTGTGATTTATATTTTCCCAGGCAAGAGTTTCCTAAACCAGTAGTTGTGTTGAGGCAGACAGGGAATAATAGTGTCAGAAGGCTATGTGGGGGTAGATGATTTGAGATCTCGCATGCAAAGAATATATGACTCAGGATCAGATCTTCAGATATCCCCGAGGCTTGTAGAAAGGTTACACAGAGGCATCTGGTAATCTCCTTCCTTGGTACTTTTTCTTTCTCCTTGCAACTCAGGTATTTTAATAGAGTACAAGAAAGTCTTAGTTTACATTTACCCAAATGCTAGGATTTTTACTTAGTTTAGAAAATTCTTTTTCTTGTTTTTTTGTGAATTGATTTTTTGCTGCATCTGTAACAAATTATCAAAACTTAGTTGCTCAAACAATAAGCATTTGTTTTGTTTTGTTTTATAGCTCTTTAGAAGTTTGACATGGGACTCACTGGGGCAAAGTCAAGGTTTTGGGGCCACGTTCCTTCTAGAGGCTATTGGAGAAGAATTCATTTCCTTGCCCTTTCCAGCTTTTAGAGGACACCATGTTCCATGGCTTTTGGCTTGCTTCCCCCATCTTCTAAGCCAACAATGGTAGCCTAGTCCTTCTCATGCTGCCATCTCTGGTTTTCTGCAGATAGTACAAGTTCCCTGCTTTTCAGCACTTGTAATTAGATGGGTCCCAGCTGAATAATGTGGTATAACCTCCCCATTTCAAGTAGACCTTTATCCTAAATATATATGCAAAGTCCCTTTTGCCATGGAGGGTAAACTATTTACAGGTTCAGAAGATTAGGGTGTGGATCTTTGGGGGAGCTGTTAGTTTGCCTGCCACTTCCTAAGTAAGTCCTTTTTACACAAGCACATCATTTACTTTTTGAGGGCACTGCTTTCCTTTTCACAACACATTTTATGAATATTTTATATATATTTTCATAGGATTCATATTTGTTTCATTTACCTAACAGGCTTGTCATTTGTCAAAAAAACAAGGTGGACAGTTTCCCCTTGGCTCTCATAACTTCTCGATTATGGTGAAAACATCAGCTCTTCAGCTGGAAGGATACGTTTTGTACAGTGACGTTCTTGGGCAAGACGGGGCAGTTTCTCCATCTGCTTACTGAGGTTATTACGTCGCTGTGCTCAGAGTGTGCAATGTGGGTGGGAGGAAATCTCTTAACCTCTTCCTGATCAATCCCACTGTTTGAACAAGTGAAAATATAGTCAGAGGTCTTAAAGATTGTTGAGCTCTTAGTTTCAATGGCTAGCCCATTTCTATAGCTTTCTGTGTTTTAAATGAGTGTGTGAATGGGAAGGTAGAGGAAGGAAATGAATCACTACCAGCTCATTGTTCTCTTCACCCAGCATTCCGTGTGGATCGATGGTTTGTACTGTCCTTGGATGTGCTCACAACACTCTTTATATCTCTTGGTTCTAAAGTACCCCACGCTTCTGAAGTTTTCTGTCTCATGTTCCCAAGTGTCCTGTCTTCGTGGCCACATTCTCTCCATATTGGGAAGCACGCTGTATGCCCTGCCCTCATGCTTTCAGCGCGACTCGAAAACAGATACTCTGTTGCGCAGACAGGTGTGAAAACTACGTTTCCTGTTCAGCCTCCCTGAACATCTAGCCAGTAGGAACAGCCCCCTTGTTAATCACTTAATGCCTAATATTGGGCACACCAGATGAGCAAAAGGATGTCTAACCGAAGGGAGATAGATGATTATAAACTCTGTTGCTGTTTTCTGTCGTTAATGGTCAAAAATATTTCATGAACCATAATCGCTTCTGTTTCATCTCTGCTCCAGACTCACCTTGACACCCTGGAAAGAAGTGTGAACCCCAAGCAAGTCTACTTCCGCCAGGATGTTCTCTGCCAGACACTGGGAGGGAATTCGTGTCCACTGGTGACCATCACAGCCACACCCGAGTCCAATAGCGCTGACCACCTGGAGCAGTTCCGTGAGTAAAAGATAACCCTCTTTGAAGATGTGGTGGTTATGGGGTGTCCTCACAGCTTTGGATGCTCCCTGTCCTGTTGGGATCAGAGGCTTCATAAAGGGCTAGGGACTGGTCTGTCTTATAGAAACGCACTCGCCACTCTTGGGACAATAGGAAGGCTAAATATTAACGTTGCGCTATTGTTAAAGGGAGAAAAAAATTGATTGCAAACTGTCAGGGAGAGGCACTGGCATCACATTTTCCAGCCAGGCCCTCTTCTGCCCATAACTCACTGCTATTATACCGCTTCCAAGGCCAGACAAGGGCTGGCAAGGAAGGAAGTTGAGTTTGGAGCCCTGGCTGAAGAAGCCCCATCATGGCTTGAAATGTCCAACCAAACCAGCACATGGGCAGGTGCACGCATGTGTGCACACACACACATGCGCGGCCCTGAAATGGTCCAGCCCTGTGTGCCAGTGTGACCTCCCAGTAACCAATTAGCTTTAAAAGGTGGCCTCTGGCATATCTTAGACCTTAGGTAGGCAAGAAAAACCTATCAGAATGAGGACTGCCTTGCAATACAGAAACATTTGCGCGATGGAAGAAAAGTAGGGGGAGTAAAAAGTCCAGCTGGTTTATCCCCAGAAGATGCAGCCTTACCCGCTGACGTGCTAATGGCCTTCAGGTGACTGTTGGGTGGATCTGGAATGTAATTTCTCCCATCCCGTCAGCATCTGACAATCGCTGCTTAACAGCCTGGGTAATCAACAACTCATGATCCCACCTGAATTAATGCGGCCCTAAAATGCTTTAATGAGTAGTCAGGGATTTTCCAAAAATTCTCTTACCTGTTTTACGAATTTAAGAGCAATTTCTGTAACAGCCCCGGAGCCCTCTGCTCGCACATGAGTAGTTTTTGGACGTTAGTGACAGCAGTCCTTCCGGCGCAGCCTTCGCTGGATGGTGTTGGTGTGAGAAGGCGCTTCTGAGGGAGACTGTGTTCCACAGTGTCAGTTTCCGAGCCAGAGCTGGGAGAGAACCCAGCGTGGGGTCATGGCATGGAGCTGCCTCCACTTTGGCATTTTCGGGTACGCTGACCCTGGTGCACGTGCTGGTGTCAGAACTATAGAGATCCTTTCCTGTGTTAAGGAGAGGACTTTCCACGTGGTGAAGATCCCTAAATAATTTGTCACTCTGACATAGTTCCGTTAATGAAAGAAAAGACATCTCGGGGCACACCCTTCTAGGAGTCAGAGGAGGCTGGTTTCTGTCTGCTGCATAAGATTAGTAATCCTAAGTGCATTCTCCTCTGTGTCTCTACAGTTTCCGCTCTTAAACGTGTGCCAAGGGGCATCGGGATGGCTCAGCTGGTTGAGCAGCTGCCTCCTGGTTTCGGCTCAGATCGTGGTCTCAGGGTCCTGGGATCGAGTCCTGCATTGGGCTCTGCTCAGCGGGGGATCCAAGTGGGGATTCTCTCTCTCCATCTTCCCTACCCCTGCTTCTCTCTCTCTCAAATGGGTAGATAAATCTTTAAAAAAAAAAAAAAAGTGCTGGTAGGTCCAGCTGTTCTTCATCTTCAGAGGTATCTGGGGGCGCCTGGGTGGCTCAGTGGTGAAGCATCTGCCTTCGACTCAGGTCATGATCTCGGGGTCTTGGGATCGTCGAGTCCTGTGCCTGGCTTCCCATTTAGCAGGGAGTCTGCTTCTCCCTCTCTCTGCTTGTGTTCTCTTCTTTTATAAAAAAAGGGAATATCCCGCATAGGAGTGGGGAGGGCCCAGATGATGGTGCCATGAATGCTGTTCATTCTCCTTGGGGCACAATAGACTTGCAAGTGGTGGTCATCAAGCTGAAACCAGGGCTCTGCTCCACAAGAGAGGACAGATGAGAGCCATTCTTCGTAGGTGTGACAAATGCACAATGGCCCAGGTCCCATGCTTAGAAGAAGGGCCGGGCACCTTGCTTCAGTTCTTAAAAAGGTTTTCCACAAGGGGCCCTGCGTTTTCATGTTGCAGTGGGTCCTGCAAATTGTGTAGCCAATCCTGGGACTAAGTTGAGGTCACACAGCTAAAATGTGACAAAGCCTGGTGCCCTGCCTGTGCTACCATCCTTATCCTTTACTGCCAAGTCATGGAAGGCGAGTGGCAGCCTACCTTGTAGTACACTGAAAGTCGTCTTTGTATGCACTGTGCAGCAGCTTGTATCTTTTGTAATGATGGTTGAAGTCATCCATTTTACAGATGAGGTAAGTGGAGGCTCAGGGAGGTTCGATGGTGGTGCCCCGTTAGTTTCTGATTTTGTTATTCTGATTCCAGAGTCCATACACACAACGGATGTCCTAACACAGCCATTTGAAGAGGTGCTCCAGTTCCACTCTGAACCAGAACTTTCCCTCCTGCCAGTTTCATGTCCTCACATGAGATGCTAGCGTAGCTGTTAAAGTAACTCATACTAGGTTGAGCACAAATAAGTGTATTACCCTCTTCCTGCTCACAGTTAATTTTATTTTCCCTTCCTAACCCAGTGGAAACCTTTGTGTGGTGGGCCTTTCACATACTCTGGCGGGAAGGCAGGGCGGAGAGAGGATTCAGAGCCCACAGGTCCTGGTGCAGAGCTGCGGTGGCGTGGCTGGGCCGTCTTGCTGGGAACAGTCTCGGACCATGGGCTACAGATCCTGGGCTACAGAATAAACTGCTTCCTTGGCAGGGTAACGTGTGTGTGTGTGTGTGTGTGTGTGTGTGTGTGTGTGTGTACGTATGTCATATGAATATATGCCACTGCTGTGTTTCGGAGAGAGAAAAAAATCCAGCACAATATAAACACCACCTAACCTCCAAATTGCAATTAACCATGCCTGTAAATCAGTAATAAAACTACTTAACTCCCTTTGAACCAAAAATGGGATGCCTTGCTTTAGGGCAGGAAACTTACTTAGCAAATGAGCCAGCACCTCAAGCCTCCCTCCAGGAGAGCTCCTGTTATCTCACCGGCTTTCCCCCTCCCAGAGACTAGGCCGCTTTCAGATCACAGGAGTATTTAGCTGTGGTTTGGCTAGTTTCTGGTGCGGTGGCTGCCACTCACCAGAGGTGTTCGTGCACTGAAAGACTTTCTTTCCACTGTGTAGGATTATCGCTTCAGTATTTTATTTTATTTTATTTTATTTTATCTTAAGATGTTATTTATTTGACAAAGAGAAAGAGAGCACACAAGCAAGGGGAGCAGCAGGCAGAGAGAGAAGCGGGCGCCTGCTGAGCAGGGAGCCCGATGCGGGACTCGATCCCAGGACCCCAGGGCCATGCCCCGAACCGAAGGCAGATGGAAGGCAGATGGCTAACTGACTGCCACCCAGGCATCCCCAGGCTTATTTTAGAAACCCAAGAAATAAAAGTGTGGCTCTGGGGCCGAGAGAGAAAGGCTCCTTACTTGAGGCTGTATCCCCTGGTGGTCGGGCTAAAAGTCCTGGACCTAGAGATGATCAGGACAATTTATTGATTACTTTTACTCCTTCCTGGGGTCTGGGCTCCAGGGAGTCTCCTTGAAGGATTAATTTGGCTTGATTTATTTTTCAAAAGAAATTTTTTTTTTTAAGATATTTTCCTGGAAACATTTTGCCTTATTTTCTTGATAAATATATTTTCAGCTCAGTGGTAAGCCAGCTTCCCTCATGCATCTTTTCTCGCTGTCTGGAGAATCGAGGGGGCCGGTGCCTCCTCTCGGTGCTCCCAAGAGAGGAAACTCACTTCACACCTCAGAGCCAAAATGCTGGCAGAGCTCCAAGAGCAAAGTCACTCTCTGACCTTTTCAGTGCGACAGCGAACAGTGAAGTTGTCTGAGAAATTGCCCCTGTAATCATTACGGAGGAGACAGGCTTGAAGAGAAATTCAGGATGAAAGGAACCGTTAAAAAAGGACAAACGGTTCATCCTAGCTTCGGGCTCTCAGTGGATGAGGCAGGGGGGAATTAGCAGGTCCAGGCCCTTGCTGCCTGGGAGGGTTCCAGATGTTGGAGGAACCCTGGGCCTTTGGGATTTGTAGAGCAGAGTGTGAGTGCGGAGTGAACAGCATCCAAAAGAAAGGGGCAGAGACCCTGCCGGGTTGGAGCAGAAGGCCTCCCCGAGCACGTCTGGGGACAGGTGTGGCCAATCCCGGAAGCTGCTGCTAGTGTTTTCGGAGACTAGGTTCCCTCGACTAGCGGTGATCTGGCATATTTACCCTTAGCATGGTCAGATCTTTCATACATTAAAGTACAGTAAGTACTTCCATGAGCAGATGCTTTGAATATGCAGCGTAGAAGTAGAGAGTTGAGAGGTCATATTTTCTTAAGTTTATGTACTTTTCACAGACGGGGTGTGTGTGTGTGTGTGTGTGTGTGTGGTGTGTGCTTTTGGATTTGTACTGAAGGTCACTGTTTACTAAAACCCTAGTGAAAGTGAGTGAGAAACCCAGAGAGGAGAATGGTCCTGTGTCTCCGAGGTTGGGCTGTCCCCCAGCCAGGCCTGCAGAAGGGCTGTCTCCACGGTCACAGACCTTCCTCCGCTTGCTGTTAGTTATCTGTATTTTGCAGGTGGCAAAGTTAAGGCTCACTTTGGTGAAAAAGCAGCTGGAGGCCACCAGGGTGGCAGGTGGGGGCTCAGGGAAGAGACCCCAGGCCTCTAGCCCACAGTTCAGGGCGGACCCCTCCTTAAGGATCTGCCTCACTGGGAGAGTCCTGGGAAAGGTGCACGAGGAGGACGCACTGCTTAGGAACAACTGCCATCATTTTGTTGACTTTTCCATTTCCTCCACATTTCCCCCACAAACTCATATTCTAAATTACCATTTCAACCCAAAGGAGGTTGAGTCCCTTTTTAGTTTGGGGAGCTAGGTTTCTGTGATGGATGCTTCCTTTTTTTCAGGAGCTTTATTGCCAAATTTCCCCCCTTTGGACAATGATGCATTCAGACGCTTCAGCAATATTGTCTTGGGCACCTGGGGCCTCCGCGTCAGGTCCGTGACCGCTCAGGTCATGATCTCAGGGCTGTGAGA